TCTTTTCATTTGAGTCCAAAGAGGTGTCTATGAATCAACTTTAATGTTAAGTTGCGTTAGGACCTCTTAACATCCTCAGTACTTTTTCATGTCAAGTCATGTGTAGTTGCCTATGTTAGGCAGTCCAGAAGCTCATTTCATAGCTTGTTATTTTTATTTAGTTTATTTAATCTTTAAACTATCAGTTGTGATTTCTTAGGTGTTACATAGTTTTTTTTCATGTATTTTTCCATAGATATCTATTTGTCACTGTGGGAGACAGATGATTGCTGAATTAACTTTTAACTTGGTCTGACTTTTGGTCTCCTAATTCAAAAAAACTTGACTAGAAATGTGCATAACTAGTAGTTTTGCTGATGACTGCGGAAACATCTTGAGTCCCAGAAGCCATACTACCAAAGAAGACATCAAGATTTCTGATTTCTTTGATTATATTTTCTTCTGATTCTTTATTCCTCTAGCATTGTATTTATCCCTTTCCCCCCAGGGGCTGGGAGAGGTGGCCTCTTCACACRAGTAGGCTCTCTGGAGGGGACTTGCTAAAAATACCACTGGCTAGAATATATGGCTAGCTGTATTGTCAATTGACAATATAAGTGCATTGTCAGATCTGCAAAGGAGAAATGCAAAGCAATCATTGCAAAGTTAAACATCAGCATATGTTTTTTTTGAGGATCACACTAAGTAGGTGACAGAATTCATCAGAATTATTCAGTTCTCACAGAATCACAGAATCTGTACATAAAGGAATGCAAAAAGAACCAGTCCCAGGAAAGATCCTTAAATTTAGCTTTTGGTAGAAAGGGAGGAGTCTGAATTTTTGGCAGGAGTTACAGGTCCAAGGCTTCTTTAGTACATTGACCCAGAGGTCCAGTGGGGCTATCGGTCGTGACTGGGATTTATGAGAAGGTGGCTACATCTTCTTTGCACTTATTTATTTATTTATTAACAGCAAGGTTAAAAAATAACAGTATATTTAATCTATGGCTCTCCTCTTCCTTATCTCTGCTACTTAATTCCTCATACTAATAAAGAGATAAGAAATGTATTCGAATGCAGATCACAGAGTGCAGCCAGGAAATCTTAAGCCCGAGAGCTTTTATTCTAGAGGATCGATTTCAGTCTCTGCTTTATCTTAATTTCTTTATTCAAAAGCTTTTACAGACTTTGACATATGCCTGCCTGTCTGTGGTTCTTTTAGGAAAAAGTAATGTTTGAAACAACTGGCTACTGAAATCCTGGTTATTTTGGGCAGGAGCTTGTTTCCTGTATACATAATGCAAAACCATGTCTATACTAACTCTTAAGCATTCCCCCATAAAGACTTGCCAGATGTTTATGTATCTTATATTTCTCTAATCAGATAAATCTCACTCTACAGATAAAATGCTTTTCTATTTTGCATATAGAATAACCCAGAGAGAATATAAATGTAGGAAGTCAGGCAAGGCAGGCAGTGAGTTTATGGGGTCTTGATGACAACCACATCTTTTGCACAATGCACTGTGATTTACTGCTGTAAATGTAAAGGTAAGTTGCTCTTCCCACGCAGGAGGTTAAACTGTCTCTCCTTCCCTCTGGATGGGACCAGGCATGCGTGCAATTTCTGTGGGAAAGCTGACATTGTAGATGTGTCTGTRGGTTACAGAGGAAGGATGAAGAACAGCCTTCTCAGGGCTCTCCTCCATCTCTTTTGGGTTTGAATGAACTGATCTGGCTTTGCTGCCTGACAGCAAGGTACCTTTGTGTGGGTGCTCTAAAGTCATGGAACTCAGATAGAAACACGGACTGGCAATATCTGCTCTCTGGCAGAAGGTACAAGAAAGGGAATGGTTTGTTTGCCCTTCAAGTCTCCTTCTCTGGAGATCTTCCAAACCCGCCTGGATGCCGCCCTGTGCCCCGTGCTCTGGGTGTCCCTGCTGGAGCAGGAAGGTTGGACTGGATGATCTCTACAGGTCCCTTCCAACCTCARCCATCCTGTGATTCTGTGTGATTCAAAAACAGGCCAAAGGTTTCGTAAGTGGTAAGAGCTGGTGATCTCCAAGGGGTTATAGAAATATGTCAGTGTTGGCCTATTTTTGGCCAGGCTCCTGGAAAGTAAATCTTTGTGAAGAAATAGTCTATTAAGAGAGCAGAATGGGCACYTGCAATATGTTCTGTGCAAGAGCTGGCTTGCTACCATGGGGAGGAGGCAGCAGCATGCAAAGATGTACACCACCCTGCAGAAGAGCATYACCAACACTCCGGTTTGTCTTTAGTGAAGCCCTATGGATTTTGGTAACAGAATCCAAAAGGAAGTGTGAGGTGGTAGTTCGGAGCCTGCCAGCCCTTCAGGGCATCGMTGTGAGGGGCGGAATTCGCAGGGTTAGTCTGAGCATAGGCCATAGGCATGGCCCTCTCATCGACCTCCGCTAGGTTAAGTCAAGCAGGGAGTTTAATTTCTGTCACCGCTAAGGCGGGGCTGTCTGCGGTAGTGCCTGTCCTTAGAGTGGGGCAGAGGCTGAAGATTTCTTGTTCTTTATTTTCCCTTCTTTACATTATTTCCCTAGTGGGAAGAGGAGACGAGGTAAGAACAGGATTTATGCAGGACTCAGTACAGATCATTTTGTTTAGAGAAATAAAAATAAATCAATGTTCTGAATATGCACTTTTATTTATTTATTTAGTTGTCAGAACAAACTTCAGATTGTTGGCATTTGTTTTACAGGGTTTTCAGTGACATCAGACCTAATCACAACGTATTCTGCTGCTTAAAGACATGGACCCTGGCACCCGTTTCCTCTTCCCAGTCAATCTGAGGGAAAGCTACTGCAGGCATTTGTATTTGCCAGAATAAATAATTAAAAGGCTCATCAGCCTCTAACTAATGAACAAGGCAATGTAATTAAGCAACTTTCAGAGAGAAGGGCTAAAGACAATGTGGAAATGATAGCAGGATGATGGCTGTGAATGAGAGACTGAAAATTCTGAGTAAGAGATTTCTACAGCAAGACACGAGGAGAGTAGCTTAATCTTCCATTGGAAGGTTCCTGCCAGTTCGGGAGAGCTCTGAATCCGGAGATTAAAGGCATCTCAGGAACTGACAGGCCCTCAGTGCTGCAGAGATAGCTGTTCGCTGGCAGTGGCTGAGAAATGAGATTTCTGAGCCCTCCCAGCTCCTCCCAAGCAGGACCCCTCCGACCAGGCGACGCTTTTCCGCAATTCTGAGTCTGCGAAGCCTCTTTCAGACCGAAATGTTCTAGGGACACTTGCCAAGTTGTTGTAGCTGACATCTAGAAATTGTGCTGWTGAGCTCTGGCAACGTTCCTTGCGAGTCCTGCATGCAGTACTATCTCTTATTCTTATAACTTATGCCTCTCTTGTTATTATTTGCTACCAAAAATGGGTACAACCAGCTCATATCTAGCCTATTTCTGTGACTGTGCGACTGTCTGAAGGAGATAGCACATAATTTAGGAACTGAACAAAAATAACAAAATATAGAACATGAAATAACAGCAGTGTGAAATAATCTAAAACATGAAATAACAAAAGCGTTTGTAATTCTTCTGAACGATATATTATTTTTCCTTTTTATACATTCATAAACAAGACAGCCCTTTCCAAGTAAAAGCACAAATGTCAACAAGCAGATTACAAGATTTCTGTCCAAGAGAGATTATAGCAGACTGCAGGAATTTCGAGATACTCAGATATAAAAATGGTATGCACAGAAATAAGGGTGATAAGATTCAGTTACGCAGTTTAAAAAAAAAAAAAAAAAGGAAAGAAAGAAAATGCCAAACATCTTTTTTAGTTACAGAATGTTCATGTAATTCAAATGTGATACTTGAAATGACAGAATATGTTATACATCTAAAACCCAAGCAAAATAATACAGTTCTACTTCAAAGGACTTTTGAGGATATTATTACTCTTTTTTTTTAATGTGATATATGTCCATCTTAATGCTACCCATCATATACATAAAAGAAACCAGTCTGTTTTTTTAAATGAAACTCCAGCTGTCTTCTGGGGAGATTTAGTTGAGTTTAAATGTATTCTTAGCCTTCAGGTGTCTGCTCTAAGCATGTCCATGTTGCTTAAAATGCCTTTAGTCATGTTGTTATCTTCTAATTACCCTCTGTAAAGATGAGAACTCACAGTTTTTCAGTTTATACCCTGAAATTACGTATATTTTGCTTATAAGAGTGCGTACTTTCTGGTAACTCATGTTCTTATTCCCGTTCACATGCTGTATTTATCATCATACCCGTTAACYGCCTCCTGTCAGTCTGTCCAGTGAATGTCCCAACTTGCATCTTCCTCTCCACTGTGCTACGCAGCGTAGCAGAAAATAAGGAGGGATGATGTATCCCTTCCTTACGCTCTTCCAGGCCAAGTTCTGTGAAAGCTTCTTCTCTACAGAGCTCCTCCGGAGCAAATGGATGGCCTGGGTGTGCAGTCAGGGAGATGTTCACAGTATCTTCTTGCTTTCTCCTCAGAGCAAAGAAAAACACACTTGTAATATTACTTTAATATCCTAATAACTTCTGTATATACTAATATATACCGTATATACTGAGACTGGTATTTTAGCATTTTGTTTAGAATTTTGTTATTTTAATTTTATCCTGGACACAGCAATTTGCTTTCTGGGCTCTGCTAGGATTGATGCCTCGTTCTTGTGATCTGCAGAGCCAGATTTGGAGCAAAACCTCCTACTTCTCAAATTAATTGTGCCAGAACATCTTAGTGAGATATATAGGTTGGAGCCATCAGTGTTGTAATGGGCATTTATGCATTTCAGCATAACTTCAGATTTCTCCAGTAAATGAATTTGTAGATAAATCCCTCGTGATAAAATACTACTGAAGTATTTCATACAAAGAAACAGATGCAAAGTATATATTAATTTAAGCAATCACAAACTTGCCAATTTTGCATTGCTTACATCCTCAGATCTTCCCTTTTTAAAATTATCTGACATGTATCTACTTTTTTTTTTCCTGTTTTTGTAGGTGGAATGGAGAACATAAAACAACACACATTTGCATTAGCTCACTACACCTATACCGTGCTGTCTACTTTAAAATATGCCAATGGGGCGCCTGTAGTACGTATTTATTGCGATACAGATTTCAGCAGTCCTGATGTCCAGGGTCCAATTATTAATTTTAACATACTGGATGAAAATGGAGAGGTGATTGGCTTTTCACAGGTATGTYCTTCTCTTGCCTTAATTGAGTGTTTAGTTTGTGCCTTAAGGTTGTTTGTAATGACTTGTTTTGTACATAATAGGTTATTCTGATATTTTGATTTTTTTCATAACTCTGAAGACTTGTGTGTGTGTTTATGTGTGTATATATATATATACATAAATATATATATATTTTTTATATATATATATGACTGCACGATTTTTAGAGTAGTGGAAAGAGAGTTCAGTACATAGTGCCAGCACAGTGCAGAGTTTGTAATAGCCAATCTTACCCAGATTTAAGTACCTGTTTTAAGCCCACATGACAGTGGGTTGTTTGAACAAACTACTGAACTAAGCAATTTGGTATCTTCTTGACTTGCTTGTCTGGACTATTTAAATTTGAGAAATCAAGGGCAGGTCTCAAGGTTCACCTGAGAGACTGCCTTAGAGTTTTGACACACCAAGGAAATCAGATTTCCMAAAACTGCATTCATCCATGAAGGAGGACTTTTCTTCTTTCTTCAACTCTAATAGTAGTAACTACATTCTTGTAATATATGCAAGTTACCACTGAGTAAACGTAGGAGTACTTTTATTTAACAGTTGCATGATTGCATCACTTGCTTAGCAGCAGAAGTCAGGAAAAGCACAGTACTCTAGTTTTGCTAGTGCCTTCCGTTTTTCTTTGTCTTCCTATTGAGGAAGTCACAGAATCACARAGTGGCTGAGGTTGGMAGGGACCTCTAGAGCTCATCTCGTCCAACCCCYTGCTCCAGCAGGGACWCCCAGAGCACGGGGCACAGGGCGGCATCCAGGYGGGTTTGGAAGMTCTCCAGAGAAGGAGAGGAACTCCGCAATCTCTGCGGGCAGCTCAGGGCAAGTTCAAGTGTATGATCTTGATTTTTTTTTTTCCAAAGCTGTCACTAACCTGGCACCAGCGACCTCAGCAGCCGCCCTCCCCAGTCCTCAGTCTTTGCATAGTTGTGTTCTTCTGGGAAGGYAAAATTCTGCACAGTTTAGGAGAGGCAGTAATGCAAAAGGCCCTCCCTTGGACTCAGGATTCCTGTGCCAGGGAGGATAAGAACTGAATGATGAGGTGGGGGAATGCAGAGAAATGCATATATATACATGTGGGACGAGAGCAGTGAAGCAGTTACTTAGAAGTGTCTCCATATGGAGTTTTGAATTTTTTAAGGCATCTATCAGGCTGATGAATATGGCAAGGGTAAATGCATAGAACAGGGAAATCTATATGATTCCTAAAAACGTAGGAAAAAGGGCTGTGTTATCACACAGTCCTAAAGAYTCACCATACTACATTTCAGACTTCTGTGTTGTAAAGGAAGTAAAGGAATAAATTAGCCCGTTAAACAGTCTTGAGYATTTGCTGTAGTGTTCTGGCAAGAGCATTGATATTCATACAATTGATTTGGCAAAATACTGCAAAATGACGTAGATTTTGTGTGTGTCCTTTGGTTAAAACCAAAGCTCTTAGTTATACCTCTAATTTTCATCATTTTCAGCCAAAAATGGCTCCTGCCTGTGCCACTGTTTTAAACTGAACTGTACCCCATGAAAGATGATTTTATAGTGTTATGACTCCACTGTTGCAGTTTGCTGCAGTGGCTGCTCATAAAAAGCTTCTTTATTGATCTGTATCATGTGGACTGTGCTAATCACTAGATTCTGATAGTTTCTAGCAAGAGTAAATTGAGAATGAGGAACTAATAAAGTTTTCAAAATGCACACCCATCACATCTGCAGTGCCTGTTAGATTACTTTGTTTAATTAAAAAAATACAGTTTGATGACTTTTAGAAATTAACAAGCAACAACACTAAGGCTATAATGTGTGTGATACATATGTAATTGGCTTCTTTATGGAATAAAATGCCTTCATAGGCATCCTGTGATAACTATGGTGGAGAAAAATGGTGGTTCCCTTTGAATGATGATGACAAAGAAAATACATACAGTATAGAGCAAGCATCATGAAAATGACAGTATCAATCTCTGCTTATTTGTTGCTGAGACACTGTGTGTGTATGTGTCTAACAAAAAAGTAGGTTGATTCAAAACAGACAAGAAAATATTGGGGTGATTTTTAATTTAGGGCAAATTGTGTGTCATTTCTAGATGGCATATACCTACTACTGGATACCTAGCCACCAATTAAAAATGATGCTCTTTCAGATGGTCTGTTAAATAAGATAAATGACAGAATGTTCTATTCTTCTGTGCTTGATATCTCATCTGTAATTACTCTTAACCAGKAACCCAAACAGTTCCATTTGTCCTTCTGACAGGCAGTTGTCATCWACCTTTTGCCAGCAGAGAGCATAGGGTGGCTGGTCATTAGTGACTGGGAGCCTGGAAAGGCTGATCTGAATAACTGATTCCAGAGAGAATATTTTGATGAGGTTCGGAGCAGTTTATTTTGGTAAGAAAAACTTCAAAAGGAGAAGTGACAGCGTCTTCAGAGGATACCAAGCTTATATTTAAGCCTCAAGATTTACATAATTTACATGATATTCAAAACTCTGAACTAAGTCCAGGATATTTAGGATGTGAGAGGCATGCAGCGAAGTACATGATATTTAAAACTGCTGCTGAAAAATGAAAGCAGGGGAAAAATCATGTCTTTTATCTGTGTGGCATTTGGGAGGGAAAATTGTTCTTAGCTGCTACTATTATGGAAGTCTGTTTTTCAGTTTTATCAGAATGTAATTGAGCACAGTTATTAAGTTTGTGCCACTAAACAGGAACATACTTGAATTACATACATAAGTCTATAGGGCCAGGAGGGAATAGCAAGAGTCTCGGGTACATCCTAGAGTAAAGACTTCATTGCACTCAAGACCAAATGAAGGCGTTTCGTTAAAGTGAGACACACAAAGGAGACCACACCATGATTTCACTCTCAGTGATGACATCATTTTTGACAACCTCTTATCTSAGTATATATGATACAGAGCACTTGGATGTGCGAAAGTAATAAGGTGGGAGGGAAATAATTATGGAAGTTAAGTTATTACTGCTTTTTCATTTCTTGGAGATTGCTAAGTTTATCACTGGTGTAGTGTATTATATATGGAAGAAACTTACTTTGGCTAGTGTATATACCGTTGGTTTAACTGGCAGCTTAGTTTACTGAGTTTAGTTATTTTGCTGTAATTAAAGTAGTTAAGGAAGAAAGACTTTCAGACTCCACACAACTCAAAAGCAGCAGCTTTTTCTTCAAATTTTTCTTGAAATGGATTTCTTTATCTAGAATCCAACTACTACAGTTTTTGAAATCTCAGTAAACCTCTTGTCTTCAGGCACTGAAGCAGTTAGCTTTTCTTTGGGCTGCTCGCATCACTTCCCTTGAAAATGATGTCCTCCAGTAAAGTTACTGGTCTTTTAGATTATTACTGATAGTAATTTATTCTTGAAATGAAGTGATAGGACAGGTGGCACACTGGTGCTTCTGAAAGKTATGAAAGTGTAGACTCTTCCTGGAGAGAATCACTACTTCTGTAGTGCTCCAGGTCCTTCAAAACAATGTTTGGCAGAAATGACTGGGCTTCATCTTACATTCTAATCATCAATTATATCAGACCCTTACATATAAGCCCATGACCATCTTGAGAGGTCTCAGACTGCTTTAATTGTCAAAGAGGAGATGGAACAGCCGTAAAGGAACAACCTTGACTTGTAACAACAATCGTACGCGCACACACACAAAGAAAAAGCATGGATCGAAGTCCAAGTGCAGAGTTSTCTGTTCTCTACTATTTGCACGTTTGGAAAAAAAATCACCAGCTCTGTGGCAGTGGGCCTTTGGAGCTAATACTATTTTTTCTTCTTTGTCCTGAAGTGGAGAGGGGGCCTCTCATCCATTCTTTGTACTTTCAGGGCGTTGTTGCCGAGTCATCGCAGCATCCGCTCCCCTCTCGGTTTGSAGGGTTGGTTTAGGAGCAGGAAGAGGGCCGAGGGACAAGAGGCCGGAGCAGGCAGAGGGGGTTCCACCCAACGCATTTRTCCGTTTGTGTGTTGTGGGGAGCTCTTACCCAGGCATACCTTCCAGCCCAGGCTTCTCCCTGCCTACTGGGAAGGAAGTACTTCTTCCCACAATGGACTCTTGACTGTTGAGACAGTTTTATTCTCCCTCACGTTTTTTTTTTTTTTTCCTACTGTGTGTTATTGGCTTAAAAAAGCAACCAAACCAAAATACCTATTGAAAAATGACGAACAATTCAGCCCCGATTTAGTACCTTCCTATCCCATTCTTCTGGTTAACCCAACATTTACCTCCTTTGCCCAGARTCTGAAGCCAAACAGGCTGTGTCACCTGCAAACGAGGTCTCTATATATGCTTGCTATGCCTCCTGCTAATTCTGCCAGGAAGGGAGMGAGCAGTACTGGGTCCATTAACACTCCCAGACTTCTTGCCTGAAGCCCTGCCATTTCACACTTGTGTCGCAGACAAACTGCTGTAACCGGGATCAGCTGCCAAAGACGGCGAATGTAAACGTTTTGGTTTGCCTAAGCAAGGCCCCTCTCCTGTGGTGGTGCAGGTGGATGAGTTTTGCCTCCCCTGCTCTCAACATGGGGAGTGCTGCTCAAAGAGATGCTGATCAGCTCGGTTTGCAAGCCAGCGTTAGCGTGTCCTGGCTCCCTCTCATCAGCCCAAATGGAGGGAAGGTGAGGGGGAGGCTACACTTGGAGCTTAAGTTTCTTCAGCCATTTCTCGATAAAAACCTATCAACACTTCTCAGCAAATAACTTCCAGTGTGTATCCCTTCATGAATCTATAATGCAATTCCTTGCCAGCTCTTATTATGGCATCTGCTTGCTGTCTGCCCATCTTCTTTCGATCACCACCTTCCTTGCATTAGGGAGGACAGATTTGAAGACCCACTGTTTCTGTTTTTTTCTTTTCTTTTCTGTCTTGATTTTCTGTCATTCTGTGGTGTAGATGAGGGTCTTTCATTGGAASCTGTGGTCCCAGGTCACTTGGATGCAGAAGAGCTGCCC